CTCATGGAAGAAATATACAAAATCTAAGAGTAGGTCTATTTGAAAAATCTTAAAAATCGCCCTCACTACTGCACATATTTGATGAAAACAATCATTTCAGTGCTCTGGAAATCAACCTTAGAAACATGCTTGGAAAACTGAATCATATCAGATAGAAAAGTGGGACCCTAGGTGATCTGGCCCAGGACCAGATCCAGATCCAGTTCCAGCTGTGTGGCAGTTATACTAGAGCACACAGACCACTGTGGATGAAAGGTCCTAGAAAGAAGCTACGCCTTCTACTCAAGTTTCCACAAGGCTGATTATCTGATTGCAACTTCAAAGACTGTGGAGAGGTCAGAATGTTGTAGGTCCACAGCAACTCAAGTGTATCTTGGGCTATCTTCAGCCCCCCTGTTAGCCTGCCCCACCCTATCCACCTCTGCTTGATCTAGCATTCTTGTGACTATCAGGTGAGCCTTTTGAAATGTATTGACTTAGCAGAGCATTAGCTCCCACCAACCACAGCCTAAAGGTTCATCAGACAGCATTGGAGACTGGAGAAGAGGTTTCTGCCTTAGCTGTAATCACCTACCTGATGTTTCCAACAACGTATTCAAAAAGTGTCTTGATTTATGACCTTCTTTGTGTCTATGAAATTGCTGCTCATTGGAACATGGAATTTGGGGTAACCTAATTCTGTGTTCCTGGGCCATGGGCACTCACATTTTAGTGAGCTCCAAAATAAACAGTTTCTTATTCCCTCTGAGGCGAGAACTATTTTTGTGTGGTCCACCTCATGCTGAGTGATCCATCTCTAGCCAGAGATCTTCAGACTCATCTGAGCAGAAGTGGGGGCAGCACCCTACACAGTGACACTACTAACAGAGGCCACCTTCTGAGGCTGGCCATCAGGAGAGGACAGACACTGACTACCACCTGTGGCTGCAGTCCAACTAGAAACAAAGACATTGAAGACAGCTTGCTCAATCGACACAGAGCCTTTGCTGTACTACACTTTCACCAACTGAAAGGATGTGCCCAAAGAGCAAAGGAGACTTCAAGAGCCTGGTCAGAAAGTGCTGTCCTGCACCACCACCCCAGGCTTCTGAAAAGATATACTCTAACATCCACAGGAAGCACCAAGGTCCTGGAGGCTACTGCTATTTGAGTATGACCTCTACCCATTCATCAGACTGCAAAATAAAAAGAACGCAAACCAAGGCCAAGAGAAGCAGACACACTGGAAGAGGGGAAGGGAAGAAGGCAGTGAGGGTGAGTGAAAGAGAACAGGCAAGCGAAGGGAAAAAGGAGGGGGAAAGGGTGCAAGGATTACTGACTATTCTACTAGAAGAGTTCATTCTACTAGAAGCAGATTTACGATGGCAGAACAATCTTTAAATTTCAAGACAGAATTATCAGTCTAAAGGACAGACAAGAAAAATCAGCAGTGCCTTCAGAAATCTGAGAGGAAAGCAAGCATGTCAACAAACATGAAGTAACAGCCAACAAAAGGAAACAGAAAAGGAAAAAAATTAATCTACAAATTCAAAACAGAAGGAAGAAAGGAAGGAAGGAAGGAAGGAAGGAAGGAAGGAAGGAAGGAAGGAAGGAAGGAAGGAAGGAAGGAAGGAATCACACACACAAAACAATGTGTATATCCAACAGCAATATAGTAAAACTGTTAAAACCCAAACCCAGCCGGGCGGTGGTGGCGCACACCTTTAATCCCAGCACTCGGGAGGCAGAGCCAGGCGGATCTCTGTGAGTTCGAGGCCAGCCTGGTCTACAGAGTGAGATCCAGGAAAGGCGCAAAGCTACACAGAGAAACCCTGTCTCGAAAAACCAAAACCAAAACCAAAACCAAACAAACAAACAAACAAAAAAAAAAAAAACCCAAACCCAAAGGGGGGAATATGCTGAGAGCAGCAAGAGAAAAAGAACGTGTGCAGGGGCATGGGAGTTTAGAGCTAACGCTGCCTTAGCATCGGCACCACGGGGGCCTCAAGTTAATGAGATGCACTGCAAGTACTACAGTCGAAAAGCAATCGAATGAACAAACCTTGTGAGGCAAGAATTCTACGTGTGCACAACTGTTTTTCAACCATGAAGGCCAAGGGCTGACAGATGTCTCAGTGGTTAAGAGCCATCTACTTCTACTCTTGGCAGAGGACCCACAATCAAGTGGTCCACACGTCCCTGTAACTCCAGTTCCAGGGACTATGACACCCTCTTCATATACCAGGCAAGCACACAGTGTACAAACCTACGTGCAGATGCTCACATATACACATAAAACAAAAAAATCAATTTTTTAAAACACCCTCTTGTTGAAGATGCCATACACTGTGGTTGCAGGGCATGGAGAAGTCAAGTGGGAACTGAGGGGAAGTCGCCTCCCTCCTGGATAGCTTTCACAGTGACACAACACTTATGCAGGCTGCTGGAGAATGTCACTGTTAGCTTTGGGTGTCAACCTGACACAAACTAAAGTCACCTGAAAAAGGAACCTCAAGCCAAGAATTGTCTATGAGGAATTTTATTCCTTGCTAACAGTCAACTATGGGCAGTGCCATCCTTAGGCATGTGGCCTGCCTGGGCTGTATAAGAAAGCCAGCTGAGCATAGAAGTAAGCAGCATTCTCCCATGGCTACTGCTTAAAGTTCCTGCATGGGCCTGTAAGTCAAACCCCACCATACTACACGTTGCTTTTGGTCATGGTATTTGTCAGAGCAAGAGAAAGCAAACTAAAACACAGAAAAAAAAAATCAACAGTCTTACTCAGCTATGAACTCTCGCAGGCAAGATCTGTCAACTGATACAATAATGGCATGACAGCTGTGGAGTAAGCAACTGCTATCTGACTGGATTTGATATCCTCTCCACAGAAGAAATCATGCCTGGTACTATAAACCTGGTCAACAGCCCATGGTCTAGTCACAGGCCCTAAATAGGAACCTTACTTTCTTAAATGGACAATACTATCAAACTGCCTTCTGAATATTCATTTATATTTATATCCACAGATTAGTGCTGCTCTGAGTCTTGGTCAGAGAAGTTCCTGGATGCAGTGGATTACTGTTAATACAGAAACTCCTAAGTGGTCGAAATGCTGAGAATCAATGACTGTACATCCTCAACCCTAAAGGGGATGTCCATATCGCCATCTCCAAGACTCAGGAAGAGTCAGGAAGAGGAGGCAGAAGGACTACCAAAGCCAGAGTGCTGTCAGACATTATACTCTGGACAAGACATGGCTGCTATGCCCATGAATTCACAACAGAAGTGGCTATCTACACAGGACAAGCCCCTCCAATCAATATTTCAGCATGGTTGCAGAGGGGCTGATAAGGTCTCACTCCTCCCTGATGGCTTATAAGCAATTAATGATTCCAGGGAGAGGGAGAGTCACATTCCTGAGTAGTACAGCCACTGGTAACTGCCCTCCCTGAAGTGAATAATCCCCTAACTATGCTCAAGCAAGCTAGCCAGCCTAATTAACTGCACACACTCAAAACAGACATGGGAGCAGGAGGGGACTTGTTGGAAAAGTGGTCAGGTGAAAGGGGGTGAGAGGATAATGGGGTAGGAAGAGTATCAAAGCAGTATCGCATACATGTATGAAACTGTGAAAGAATAAATTAAATTAAATAAAAAAGACTGATTTTCCCAAATAATCTCAACTGTTCCCAAATGGATCTGACAATATGAAACACCTTTTTGACTGTTTCTGATGCTTTTCTCTGATATCTGAATTCAAGATGGTTGGATATTGCCTGACATGAATCAGGAAACAGATGGCATTTATGATTACAAGGTCATTTATTTAGATACACACATACATTCCATTAGAATTGTGATTTATTTATTTATTTATTTATTTGCTCGCTCTCAGGAAAATAGAAATGATAGAGAAGTAGGAGGAAACTTCAAGAAGCATCTTTTATACAAACCCTCAATGTGTTACTACAGAACCCTCACCCTCCACAGGATCCATGTGTGTCAACTCCCTATACAGCAGCAAAAGACGGCTTAAGGGAAAAGCCCTTCATTTCCTTGGGCAATAACAACTCCACTGGACCAGACGGCAGCCCCACAAGGAGTCTGGAAAGGGCTTACACATAACGCATCCAGTGTCTACCCATCAGTCCTCAGGTAGCAGCACTGGGTCCAGGTTGTGCTGACTATAGAAAATGGAAAACTTTAAAGCTCTAATTAAAAAGTAGTATTTAATTAAGAACTTTGCAATAATTTAGAAAAATACTTAAGATAGAAAATAAAATGAGGAGAGCAATAGACAGTGTGCACATGGGAGCATATACCTGCAATCCCAGTATTTGGAAGGGTAAGGCAAAAGGATCAGGAGTTAACAGCCAGCCTGGGCAAGTCAGCAAGACTTTTAAAAGCTGGTGTTTATGTTGTTGTTTTGATTTTTAAGGGTTAGAAATATACAGCTCTTTGGTAGAACACTTGCCTATCATGCACAAGAACCTGAGTTCAATCCCTAGCACCCCAAAAATGAGAGACAAAATTATATAAATACCATTCTCTTAAGTACTTTAGGAAACAGAAAAGAAAATAGAAAGCAATCTTTCAAACATTACCAGTGATTGTCTTCTTGGCAAAAATCAAACTGTTCTGTTTTTTTTCATTTTCCAATTTGACTAAAACACTTACCACATTTGCTTGTTCTTTGAGACAGAGCCTTACTATGCGACCCTGGCTGTCCCCAAACTCACTCTGTAGACCAGGCTGGCCGCAAACTCAGAGATCCACCTGCCTCTGCCTCCTGAATACCAATATTTACCAGGCTTACTTTTTGTTTTGTTTTTGAAAATTTATTACTTTCTTAATATTTATGGGTTGTATAATTCAAACTATAATCAGCAAAAGAAACTGAAGCTGGTAATACAGAAGCACAGGGCTCAGCATGAAACACTCCTAGCGGAAAGAAACTGTCCTCAGTGAGGCCCAGGCACACCAACACAACCTAGAAAGGAGAAAGGGCAGCCTTCACAAACCTGTGGATCTGCCCATTCTTGTGCAGGTATTCCAATCCCTCTAAGACTTCGCGCAGGATTGTAGCAATGGTTGGCTCATCTAGGACTCCACTTTTGTGCTCCCCTTTTGCCACAATATGCTTAATAATATCCAGAACAGAACCTGAAAACAGGAAACATAACCCAATAAAAATTTTAATTCATTCAATTATTCAGTTCTAGTTTGGAATCAAACCACATTAGAACATCTACACAAATTATGTAAGAAAGAAAGGAAAAAGTATCAAATACTAGCTCTCTATTCTATATTCTAACCTTGGAAGAGTTAATGTAGTATTTTAGTCATTTCTGAAGAAGCCCTGGGTGAACCACACCAAGTAAAAACACTCTAAGATATCACAAACTGCCTAGCATGGTGGTACACGTCTTTAATCCCAGTACTCAGGAGGCAGAGGCAAGAGGATCTCTGTGAGTTCGAGGCCAGTCTGGTCTACAGGGTGAGTTCCAGAATAGGCTCCAAAGCTACACAGAAAAACCCTGTCTCAAAAAACAAAACAAAAAACAACAACAAAGAAAGATATCACAAACCAAAGCAGTGTTCAACCCAGACTAGATTGTGCAGTATTTTATAATTAACTTGTAGAAATACAAGTCAAATCAATGAAGAAATACATGAAAAGTAAAAATCACATTTGTAATTGTGATGGCTATTCTTGGTTGTCAACTAATCTGGAATTAACTAAAACCCCAAAATGGAGGGCACACCTGTGAGGGATTTTTGCTTAATTTGAAGTAGGAAGAGCTACCTCTAAATCTACTGAAGACCACCACCTAAGACATCCAGCTTTATGGATTCTAGGACCTTCTGTTCACAGGTAGCCATTGTTGGATTACCTGGACCACAGTCTGTAAACCATTCTAATAAATCCCCTTTCTATATATTAAGAGATTCATTCTATAAATTCTGTTGCTCTAGAGAACCCTGACTAATAGAGTAATCAAGTTAGCTTAAAAGCTATTAATTCTAGGATAACAAATACATAAATAAAACAATAAGGCAAAGGCAAACATGGGAATAACAGCAATTTCAGTTCTTCCTTAAGTAATGTCCAGATGTCTTATCAATCCAATTCCTCTCAGGATAGAAGATGCTACTCCTACTAAACAAAGGAGCAGGAGGAACAAACTCCTACACATCAGTTAAAACCACAGAACACTGACAATCAAAACTACTTACACTCAAAAAAATGTTGACAGACTCATAAAAATACATAGAAATGACTCCACTGCCCAAGCACTGGCAACTGATTGTGGAGGACACCTTAAGCCTGAATAAGGAAAGACCACAGGAGGATCAGAAGAGGGTAATGATATTCTTGGAAAAAGAGCACACTACAGAAATCTGAACTTCAGTGCCTGCAGAACAGACAGGTGAATCGCTGAGTTCCAGGCCAGGCAGAGCAACACAGTGAGATCCAGTCTTAAAAGAAAAAAGAAAGCAATCCCTACCTGGAGTTCTAGCACCAATACCTTGAAGAGGAGAGGGGAGGAGTGGGAAGAAAGACTGAGGACAAGAGAACTGCTTTCGAGTACTATTCTCTTAACTCTCCCCTCTGGAAGCCAGCCCACTACCACTAGGACTTCCAGCAGGAGACAGGCATTTTATTCTCTCTAGAGTTAAGGAGCCAGAGAGGTTCCAAACTCCACACAATACTTCCTAGCACATTTCAGGGCAGCTTTCCCTTCCTCGACAAATGGGATTTACAAACTTGTAATCCAGAAGGCCTAGGGAGAAGTTCCGTTCTGTTGAGTTCATCAGTCACACACAAAGCCCTGAAGCAAATGACCAAATCGATGAGCCCTCTTTCTTCTGAAACAGGCCACAAGAAGCATTTAGTGAGAAAGTAGAATTCCGTGTTTAAAACTTCAAGAATTTTTAAAATTTTAAAAGACTGGAAATGGGGGAAAACCTGATAGAATTTAAAACCAACAGAATGTATTTATTTAACAATTATGCTCAAGCTGTATTTCTGGCACTCAAGGGCTCAGAGAGGATTGTTATAAGTTCAAGGCCAACCTGCACTATATACTGAGTTCCAGCTCAGACTAGCCAATGATATCCTGTCTCAAAAGAACCAAACAACAAAAGAAAAATTAAACGAAAACTACAATTAAGTCCTATTATATTATTATCTAGAACTTATTACAAAATAAATACACACACACACACACACACACACACATACACACACACACGCACAGGCGCCAGGTATGATGACACACGCCTTTAATCCCAGCACTCGGGAGGCAGAGGCAGGCAGATATTTGTGAGTTCAGGGCCAACCTGGTCTACATGAGCTCTAAAATAGCCAGGGCTACATATAACACACAGAGAGATATATTTGAGATACATAGATGGCCTTCAAAAGAGACACATTTGCTCCCGGCAGCACCAATTTACTTCAGAGATGATGGGCACTGAAGAAACTCCTTGTGGAGTTTGCTTTCACTGTGGCAAGGTTAGCCACTGGGCAAAGAAACTGCTCTTGCCTTTGACTGCTGACAGTGTGCTGTGCAGACTGGACATGCAGAACCCACAGGAAAGTGACCACTTAAGTTTGCCAAAATAAGGCAGGACAGTCCAAAATTCCTGCTTCACTGAAAAGTCTGCCAGATATTATGGCTGAAGATGGATGCTATAACACTGCAGAAGAACTTTGGGTGACTGTCCAGGCAACCAAATGTCTCTGTTGTTAGATAACATTACATCCTTCTGTGTCTTTGATGGAATTGAAAACTAGATAGTTATAGCTGCAGTTTTTCTTAGTCATGATATAAAGTAAGTTAGGTGTAAAATTCTGGATTCACTAAGATAGGATAGATAATGCATTATTTTCTTTGAATATGCTAATTACAAATGGACAGAATATTGTAAATGTATTTCCTACTTAATATTTTGTTGTATGAAGTTTTACTATGTTAAAGTTTAAAGCCTTTCTTTTATTTAGACAAAAAGGGGGAAATGTTGTAGAATATTATTTTAAAGTGTGTTACTTTTGTTTATCTTGCATTTGTTTAACTCTGTGAAGCTGTGTTCCTTTGCCTGTCTAAATCATCTTATGGTCTAATTAAAAACTGAACAGCCAATAGCAAGGCAAGAGAAAGGATAGGCAGGGTTGGCAGGCAGAAAGAATATATAGGAGAAATCTGGGAGGAGAGATCTAGGAGCCAGAGAAGGAAGAGGACTCCAGGGGCCAGTCACCCAGCTACACAGCAAGCCACAGAGTAAGAATAAGATTTATAGAAGTAAGAGAACGGGAAAAGCCCAGAGGCAAAAGATAGACAGGATAATTTAAGTTAAGGAAAGCTGGTAGACAAGAAGACAAGCAAAGGCCAGACATTTATAAGGAAGAATAAGCCTCCATGTATGATTTATTTGGGAGCTGGGTGGCTAGCCCCCCAAAAGAGTAAAAGAAAAAACAACAATTAAGGTTACACAGTTTTCATGTCAACTAAAAGAAAGGTGAAGGTAAAACACAGGAAGCAAAAAGAGACTAACAATTATCACTGGACAACTCAATTAACCCAATTAACTAAAGAAAAGTAGGGATTTGAGACAGTTGTAGGAGTGTGTACTGTATTATGTCCTTAACCACAAGAAATGTTATATAGGGAAAACTCAGTTTTTGAACTTTAACATGCAAGCTAGTAAAAAATCAAAGGGGGAAAAAAAAAAGAGGACCACAGACTCCACAGATTGTCCTTATGTAACTACGAGCCCAAGAGGTTGCATTTCAAAAGACATTTAACGTCGTCATTAAACCCCGGGCACTGCAGGCTGCAGGGTGCAGCTCAGCTGACAAAGTCTAGCAGGTATGAGGCTGGCTTTGATCCTAGCACTGCATAAACCAAGTATGGTGGTCCCTGCAACCCAAGCATTCAGGAGGTACATTCAGACTAAATTAATAGGGTTCAAGATCATCTTCAATACACAGTAAGTTAGAAGAGGCCAGCCTTAAACTATATGAAAACCTGTTTCAAAAAGAAATTTTACAAGAAAAAATGAATACTTAAAACTCAAGTATTTTTTAGAATAAAGCAAATAAAATACTGAAAAATGAGATTTATTACAAATTTTGTAACAAAGCAAAAAGTTAAAAATATAGCTCTTCTACTCCCTAAAATAATCTATGTACCATTACAGCTTGAGCACAGAATGATATACATCAAACAGCAATGTGTTGTGTAATATTAGTTTAAGATGTGTTACATTTGTTTATGCTGTGGAATATATGTTTAATGATGCAAAGATGTGTTGTACTCTTTTATGTTGCATTTGTTTAACTCTGTAAAGCTATGTTACTTAACCTGCCTCAAATACCTGATTGGTCTAATGAACAGCTGAATGGTCAATAGCTAGGCAGGAAAAAGGAGAGGTGGGGCTGACATGCAGAGAGATTAAATAGGAGAAATCTAGAGGAAGAAGACAAGGATTGAGAAAGAGGAGAAGTAGAGGAGGATGCCAGTGGACAGCCACCCAGCCAGCCACAGAGTAAGACGTAAAAAAAGGTATACAGCCGGACGGTGGTGGCACACGCCTGTAATCCCAGAGGCAGAGGCAGGTGGATGGATCTCTGTGAGTTCGAGGTCAGCCTAGTCTACAGAGCTAGTCCAGGACAGGCTCCAAAGCTACAGAGAAACCCTGTCTCGAAAAACCCAAAAAGAAAGGTATATAGAAAGGTAAAAGCCCAGAAGCAAAAGGGAGACAGGATAATTTAAGAAAAGCTGCTTAGAAATAAGCCAAGCTAAGGCCAGGCATTCATAAATACTAAGAGTAAGTCTCCATGTATTTATTTGGGAGGTGGGTGTGGCAGGCCCCAAAAGAGCAAAGAGTTTAAAAAAAAAAAAAAAACTATAGCAACACTGCTGCAGGCCGCAGGAATACATCATAATAACTCAGCTGGTTATGGCAAAGTCACTACCTGGAGAGATCAGGGAATTCCTCCAGAGGAAGCCAAATTCCAAGGAGTTTTTGGTGTTATTTGGCTTGTTATATATCAGCTGTATTCTGTTATGAAAATCATGTGTGCCTTCATAGTTTTCCCAGTTGACTTTTCCCTAAGAAGGGCTAACAGTGTGGACTGATCACTCTCTAGACATACA